CAAAGAATCTTTTCACTTCCTCTCCTGATGGCGTTGAGAGCAGTTCCCTTCCTGCACGGGTTCCCAATTCGGCTTTCAATCCCGAGAGACAACCACCAAGCACCCAGCAACATAGCTCATGGCAACTGGCTCCCTCAGAGAATCAGTCACGCTGAGATTTCGCAATTTCCTGGGGTTGGTGTCCTTGAGGTGGGACTCAAAGAGAAATTACCTCCAGTGAGAAAAAGCAGGCATGGTTCTCGGGGGACATCTCAGCCCCTGGAGAGTACCCCACCAAAAAGCTTCGAAGTACTTCTCCAAGATACTCGGAAGAACCTTCTGCTTCTCCCAGCTGTTCGTCAAGAACAAGAATGGAAAATGAAAACAAACTTGGCAGCAGAACCATCGCCACACAAAACAGAAACAGCGACCGAACCCGATCACCAGCAAAGGTCCCAGAGATCTCGCACAGGCACCAGAGGAGCCTTTTAACTCGCAAATTTAATTCCTATTCAGTTTTCCATCTGGGATGAGAAAAATTGTATCAGTGGAAGACACTGCCCGTGAAAGGTTTAAGAGTCAACTCCGACTTCTCTGCCTGCCTGGGTCTATTTAACAGAAAAGTTCAGGAGTCACGACAAGCCACGGAGGAGCCCCGCGGAGCTCAGCGCCAGATAAATTCTGACCCTGGCTGAGAGTTTATATCTGCATCCTCTAATTTATTATCCCTTTGAATGGGAACAGAAGCTCGATGACTAATGGCTGATCTATCTGCCAGAGGCACAAATACAACTGCTTGTTGATAATGATCATTTTCCCAAAGCCCAGTTTACATTTCTCCATTAACATTCCAGGGTCTGATTCTCCGGTTCCCAACTTCCAAGGGTTTTCAAAATTTTTTAATTTTATTTATTTATTTATTTTGGTCTCTGACTCCAAGACCCAGCTGAGGTCTAGGGAATCAGTGGAACCAAATCCAGGAAGCAGAGCCTAGGCCCCCAGCTCCCCAAAGAAGGTGTTTCTCTCTGACCCACCAAGCGATACGATGTTCTCAGTGGCCCCTCCGAAGAGATACACCCTTTCCCAAGTGCCCCCTTTTAACTGGGGAGTTGGCTGTCGCTTGGGCGTGACCACAAAGATCATTCACAGGCGTGACATGGAGCTGGGCCAGATTTCCGAGTCCCCTCACAACGACAGAGCTTGAACTCAATTCTGTTTTCAGGCCCGGGTGGGACTCCAGCACCCGACAAAAGATGCATCTTCTCCATGGAAACTCGTCTTAGGGTTGCTGAGAACTCCTGACACCCCTCAGTCAGCTCGCTGAGACAGGTTTCTGAAGGCCACCGAGCCCAAGAAGGGGACAGGAATTAAAACGCTCAGTTTTCATGGAACCCTAAAGCAGTATGGATGGTTACAGGTGGCCGAATATCCAAACACGGCCACTCAACCTTCTCCTAAACAGGCATGTACAAACCTGCGGTAACTGGATGTGATAAGCAGAAATAATCGTAACCAATTGTCAGTAATTAGCACTGTGGATTCATTCTCCCATTCCACAGCCCCCCCATCCTCATGTAAACACCCTGAAGAGTTCATTTACTCTTTTACATGTACGTCCTTAGCAGGGAGGAAGTAAATTACCCATCTCTCTCTCTTTTTTTTTCCCCTTGTACCCCTCCCAGTGAGAAGTTCAGTCAATTTTCCAAAACTCCCACTGCAAAGAGCAAAACTTCACAAACTCCTGTACCGAGTGTAAGAGGTCTTCAACTCCAAGCAGCCAGCTCCCCCCCCCCCCCCCCCCCCACCGACACACACGGCCCAACCAGCAAAGGGTTAAGGATGAAGGCTGTCATGAGTGGCACCAGATTCAGGTCTGTGATCACTGTCAATGTGTACACATCTGATGAGAAATCCTCACCAAGTCTTCAGTGCAGCGTATTTCCACTGTCAGGGGGGGAATTACTGTTATCAGATAGGAAAGATGGAAAATAAAAAAAAAACCGGCTCGCTCAAATGTAAATTCATGCTAAACATATTCCACACCCTACCAATGAATGATATGAGGAACCAGGTTTTTCTTCCCTCAAAGCAAGCCTCTTGAGAGGCTTTTTTTTTTTAACTGAGCATTCACTAGCCCTTTGATTTGGCTTCAAATAAAGGATTCCCTTCCTCAAAGTCTATTAAGTCATTTGGGAGATTTATTGGGAAGCCATTAACGTTTAATAATGTACATTAATAACTTAATACACTCGAGAAGGCACTCTAAGGCTAAAAGAATTGCATGTTAGGTTTTAGAAACCATAAATAATACTTTTCTAAAGGTATTTCATCAAGATTGGAGTAGCAAATAATAAGCCACTGTCAAATGATTATCTGCCTGATGAAAAATGTTTCCATTTCTGGTTTACTTGAATGCATGCACTCCGCGCTGAGACTGACATGTGAGTTACGACGTCTAAATCCCAAGGACTGCTTAATTAGGCAGAGCTTTCAGAATGCTTTCCACCCCAATTTTATGTAGTTACTGAACAGGGAGTAAATTTTATTCACCTTAGTTTTCACTATTTTACCTGACAAAGTTCACTTTCTATTATTCAACTTTTTAGTACACATTTTGTTCTGATTAGAAAAACAAAGAAGGAGAACCTTTCATTGCCATTTATGCCTTTCATTTGATTTGAATCTTTTTTTGATACTGGTTCCACCAAAACCACTAATTATTTTCGGTCAGAAAATGCACACATGTATGTGTGTGTATACATATATGTACATATACACAGAGAGAGAGAGAGAGAGGGAGGGAGAGATTTTAAAACAATGCCAGCAGTGTATCACTCTTTTTGGAACTGATTTTAAAAAAAAAGTTCAGTTCATCCAATCTAAGATTTTTGATGTTGAACATAAACTTGAAACAACAAAAATGCTTTGAAAATATGGTATCTGCAAAACCCTTGAGAGGTCGCTAATGGGATTCCCATGACCTAATACACCGACGAGGGTTTAACTGAAACCATAAACCCCACCAGAAGCTCATGGTCTGAAAGGTTCGACCACTGTAGCCGTTTTTTTTTTTTTTTAATGGGTTTAATTCCACTGGCAAATCCTAGTTTCTGTATTTTAAATCTCAACTACAGCCAAATCAGGACTCATTTCCAAAGAACGAGCAGAAGCAAGGGCTGAAAGGACAGAGCAAGAAAATGATGCCAGGCCACCGTCGACAAACTTCCAACACAGGAAACGGAGCAAAACTGGTTTCTGCACGGAGGACCCTCGGAACACTCAGGACCCTCTTGTTTCCCCTGTTTCCTTTCCACATAAGTTCAATAAAACCCAGAATTAACTCAGCCCAGGCCAACGACTAGCCCGCTGTGCACTGAGTCTAGTTATTACTTTTTTTCTGGCAGGTTTACCACCGTGATCCAATGTAGCACAGGCAAGCAAGGAGCCAGGAAAACACTGCCTCATGTCACTGTGTGGCCCGACGCTGAGAAAAATCTTGCTGAGGACTATCCCCGGGACCCAGGGCCTTCGGACAAGTCGCTGTTTCAGATCTCTTTGCACAATGCACTGAAATTTGGGATCAAAAGATCCTCTCTGGCCCTCCCAGGGATCCAGAGTTACTGTAGCAAATGATTATTTATGTTCAAAACAAGGTTAAACCTGCCTCCCCTACCATATGTAAATTCACCACACACAATGCGCCCCTGTGTCATATATGTACATAGACAGACGTATTTCTGCTCATCATCCAGCAGAATGAAGCTCATAGCAAAGACACAAATAAAACTATCAACATCAAACGACCTTGTTCCTCAATTTTCCTACTTGTTCACTCTTTTTTAAAAAAAAAATCAGTCGTACACGTTTTTGTTATGATCAGGCCTTCTTCTAACTTCAGACTAGAGTTGACACAAACATAAGCGAAGGAAGTTTTCATTTAATCTGAATGCCAGCAGGAACAGCGCGGTTACAAAAGCCCTTTGCTGTGAGTATTCCCAGATATACACAGATTGAGGGATGAGGTGTTTGGTGCAAGCTGGGGGGCCTGAAAATTTCACAAATCTTCCCCAAATTGCTTTTGTAATGTTATCCCTAATGGATTTAAGGTCTTCCATGCAACAAGGAGAATCCCAAACGTTCTTTTGCTTTGGAATACACTATGTGATTTTTTTTCCCCATTAGATGAAAACAGTCAATAATTTGTGTGTTGGGGGCAGGGGAATAACTACTTTCTTCTTCTGCTCTATCTACGTTTAAATCGCCTAAATTCTTATAATTAACGGGGTACTTTTCCGGGGCTGCTCTGAAAACGCCACGTTGCGTTAAGAAAAAAAAAGAAAGAAAAGAAAGAAAAAAATAAAGAAAAAGCGTATCTTTGGGCGTATTTCCTTCTTAAATCGACTTTCTCAAAGTATGTCCTAAACGCTTTTTCTTTTCTTCACTGTGCCTATTGGCCTGTGCGTTCGTAGAAAAAAAGAAGCCGGATTTGAGAATTATTATTTTTTTTTAAATAGTTTGCGCTGGGAGCTTTTTTTTCAGGCACTCCAAACAAACAGGGGTTGACCTCTGGGCGCATCACAAGGCGACAGATTCCAGAACGCCGGGTAAATTTAAAGTCCAGTTTTGGAGAACTTCAGGACGCGGACGACTCGCGAAATTTCTGGGAGGGTTGGTGGGGGGTGGGGGGGGGTCGGGAGAACAATCTCACTCGGGGACAGGTAGCACCGTCACTTCCCCAAACACGGGTTTGGGTACAGAAGCCGGTTCAGCGTTTGACCTTCGGAGCACAACGGTGCCGGGAAGGAGCGCGCGGAAACCCAGCGCGTCTGCAGCTCGCCCGGCGCATCACCTCCGACCTGGCCAGGGTCCACCGCTAGCCCGGCCCTTCCCAGGCTGCCCACCACTGACCAGGGGGGGGGGCCCAGGAGAAAAATCCCGAGGTCCCCTCCAGTCGCCCTTCGGTAGCACCAGCTGGAAAGCCACCGCACCCCCGGAAGGCCCCGACGGGGGCCAAGTCTTACCCGTACAGGAGTGCAGGGGCTTGGGTCGCACCACCAGCGACGGGCACACCGAGTAGAGGGAAAGTTTCTCAAAGTAGTCGCAGGTCTCCTTGGACAGGATCTCGTCGATCATGAAGGTCTTGTAGCGCCGCCTGGCTGCTTTGAGCTGGCCGGGCGAGCTCAGCCTCACCTCCGCGTGGCAGTGCATGGTGAGCCGGGGCGAGCGCCCGCCGGCCCAAGCGGGGCAGCGAGAGCCTGGCCGGACGCGGCCTCGGCGGGGGGTTGGGGGGCCTGGCGCGCCGGCGGGGTCCTGCTCCGAGCGCCGGGCCGCGCGCGGGCCGGGGGACGGCGGCGGGCTGGGCGCGCTGCGCGGCGGGGAGCGGGCACCGGGCGCGCGGGCAGCGTGTCTACACCACCCACCCGCGGATCCGCATCTCCGCCGAGGCTCTTTGGGGGCCGGCGCAGCTGTCAATCAGGGCGCGCTTCCCGCGGGGCCCGGGCCGAGCCGCGCCGAGGGGCGTAGGCGCCCACCCCGCCCCGCGCGCCCGGACGAGCGGGCCGCAGACTCGCGCGCCTAGTGCTCGCCTCCTCCCGCCGCCGCGCGTCTCGGGCTCCTCTGCCGGCCTCTCTATTTTAAGACACTCGCTTCGCCGCTCCTCCCCGCCCCTCGCTCGGGACGCGCTCCAGGTGTGCGTGTGCGCACGGTGCGCGCTCGTGTGTGCGCGCGGTGCGGGGAGCGCGCGCGCCGTGCCCGCCCGTCGGGCCCGGGCCTGTGCGGGCGCCTCCCGGGGGGCCCCGCCGTCCGGGTCCAGCTCCAGCTCCCGCGCGAGGGTCTCGCCACCTGCCAGCCCCTGCAGCCCCCACGACCCGGCCAGCCGCCACGGCCAGGACTCTTACTAGAAGTCGGGTCACGCCTGGCGTCCCCCGGACCCCGAGACAACTCGCGCCTTTCGCCCTTCTTGGCGAGGACTAGCTAGGGGAACCCCTTCCCCGGGACCCTCCCTCCCTCCCTTCTTCCTGCCCCGTGCTCGTGGTTGACGCTCGCGCGTGCGCTCCCAACTTGGGCCGTTTGCGCTCGGGCTGCGAACTTGACTGTGGCACGGAGTTCCCAAACCGCAGATGACCCTTGCCCTGTCCGTTACCCAATAATAAGCTGCAGAGGGGGGAGGGGAGGGGAGGGGAGGGGGGGAACCCACAAAACCGAGCGTTCTGCTTTAAGGCCACAAAATAGATTCCCCCTCCTCCCCGGGTCGCCTAAGCTGCAGCAGCACCGCGCGGTGCCCGCGGGATGCGGAAGGACCCTGGGGCCAGCTCGCGGGGCCGCGGCTCTCCTGGCCCCAGAGCCCCGCGACCCAAGACGCGCGCTTTTGGGGCGCTCTGTCTTCCCAGGTCTGTTGCGATCGGGAGCTTCAGGGACTCCAGTTTCCGACGGGCACTGTAGACGACTGGGGCGCACTCCGCCCGGGCTCCCCACCCCCCACCCCCCAGGCTCCTGGTGCCCGCGTCCCGGCGTTGCGCTCGGCGCTGCTTTCCCACGAGCTTTCCTGGGATCCGGTGCGCGCGGGGCCGGCCGAGAACCGCCCGATCTGGACAAGGGGAATTCTAGCTGTGGACGAGAGAGACCGAGTCTGGCGTGCTATTTCCTCGCTGCCAACCGGGGAGTGTGCCTCCCGCCTGCATTCGCGGCCGACGGGCCCGCCCGGGGACCCCGAGTCACCACGGAAGCAAGTGACAGCGCGCGTCCGGGCCGGTGATGAGACAGAGACACCTCGGGAAATTCACAGAACGGTTCGAGAACGGTTCGGATTTGACCTCCCGAACCCTCGCCCAGCGTTCCGCAGGGCCCGCAACGAGACCGGCAGGTTTGCGCGCGCTGGGACTCCCCTCTCCTCCCCCGGTTCACCATTGACAATTGGTGGGTTTTTGGTGTTGTTTTTTTTTTTTCCTTTTTTGTTCGTTGTTTCGTCCCCTGCTTCATGCAGAGGCAGCCCCGGGACCCCGTGAGAGATGAAGCTCCGGGTCGGGTCGCTTGGGTGCAGGGACCCGGGGACGTGCCGCCGGGACCCGGGCTGGGCGTGCGCGCCCTGGACCCTCCGGAGACCAGGAGTTCTGTCGTCTCGCTGCAAAGACCCGGTTGCCGCCACGCTGCGGGTTGGGAGGGATTCAAGGGCGCAGGGCTTGGGGGGCGACCCCAGGGCAGCGCGGAATGCGAGGCTTCTGCGCGCAGAACGCCAGGGCACCGGCCAGCTCTGTTTGGACTCTTGGGTTCGGCCGAGCCGTGCGTTCACGGAACGAGCCATTCGGGGTGACTACCCTGCCCACCGTTCTTTGCAAGCGCCCTCCCCTTCCCCCATCTCTATATATTATATATGCACACACACACATTTTTTCTTCTCGAGAATTCCTCTCCCCTCGCCAGCTTGTACGATTTCTTCCACTGCCTCCAAGTCCCTTCCGTTCCCTTCTCCCATGCCCCCTTTTGGTCCCCAGCTCCTCAGTGGCTCCTTGCGCACGTCGCCGCGCTCTTTCTGCCTGTCGCCTCATTCTTCTATCCTGTTTCTCCTTTTCTGTCCCCCTTGCTCGGCTCTCTGCCCTCTGGGATCCTGAGCGGGCGCGTAGAGTCCGTGTGTCCTGGCGCGATTGCGGGAAAGGCGGCCAGGGAGGGAGGTACGGCAGGGACCCCGGGGGGCCTGCGGGTGGGAGAGGCGACGGGCATACCCCACTTTCACACACTCTCCTCCCCCCAGTTTTCATGCCACCACAGACACAGACACACACGGACACTCAGACGGGTGGGAGAGGCGACGGGCATACCCCACTTTCACACACTCTCCTCCCCCCAGTTTTCATGCCACCACAGACACAGACACAGACACACACGGACACTCAGACGATACAAACTGCCAATTGACTCCCGATTTTCCATATTTCCCAAGGGCAAGACCTGGGGCTGGGGTGAGGGGGGCTGAGGACACGACTTGGGTGTACCTGGGGAGGAAGAAGATTCCTACCGGAGCCCCCTCGCCCTCCAGACTGAGGCTAGGTCTCCGTTTTCCCGTTTGTATCTAGAAATCAGAGTACCTTCGCAGGGCTGCTCGCCAAGCCTTTCCCATGCGGGTCCTCTCCATGAAATATCTGCACCCCCCACACATACACACACACGTAAGTGCTTTCTTTGCCCATGGTTGACTTCGGCGTGTTTATCTTGCCAGGGGCCAGTGAGTGGGGGACCAGGACTCTGTATCCTTATTCACCTCGGTCCCCAGTCAGCCGCACAGCTCTGAGAAACCCAGGAGGTTTCTCAATTGGTGTGTCAGAAATAATTGAAGGCATGAAATCCGGGCTGCTTGGGGAATGTATAAATGCCCAAAGGATGGGGTTCAGTCTTCCTTGCCTGCGGTTCTGCTGCTGGGAATCTCTCCTGCTTCCCTGCCTTGTTTTGGGCGTTTGTTTGTTTGTCTGTTTGTTCTCAGCACTGGCCTCTCCTGCCACCGGCCCCCCAACCTCCTTCTGCTCCTTCCTGCCTCTGACCACTCTCTTCTGCTCTCTGTCTGCAGGGGTGCAGGGCACACGCCAGTTGCCAATCACAGTGTGGTCGGTGGGGGGGGGGGGGGAGTGTTATTTCCAACATTAATGAAGTGGCTGAAACAGCAAACATCTGCCAAAGAGAATCAAACATCTTCCAGCTGCTGGCAACCCACTGACATGGCCCGGCTTCTCCTGATGGCCACCAGGCTGGGGTGCCCTGGACTTGGGGGTGAACACACACAGGAACCACCGCGCTCGATCTCCCTTAGGCAGCACAGATGGACTGATCAACACCCCTCACAACTCCCGTCCCTCAAAAAAAAAAAAGAGCATTTGACACCTCTAAGATAGAGCCCAGCCCCAACCAGTGGGACAGAGACACTTTTGCAAAATTAGGAAGTTCTGCCAGCTGCACCCCCTCCCCCAACCCCTCTCCCCGCCTCAGTTTGCACTCAGTTTCCCCACTCAACTGAAACTCACAAAATCCTGCATTTGACTCTTAGGTGACATTTAAATGGCATCAAGAGACTAACCCCGGATGAACTCACTGGATTGTTAATGCCACTCTCCTAATCTTGAGCCGTATGTCAATATAGATCTCTGTGTCCCTATAAATCTAGGCGTGCAAGCGGCCAGGCTGTAAATCTTCTGAGCACACAAATTCATTTCCAATCATTTTCTTCTCTAAAGCGGGCGGGGATGTGGGGGAGGGGGGGTGCGGTGGAATGAAAACCCTTTGCACACTCTGTAAAGTGCATTTAATAACTTGTATTTCAGTCGCGGCGTTTTGAAATCGCTTCAGACATGCAAAAGCAAAATAAGGGAAAGCCTTGTAAGTTAATATTCCCCTGGGCCTGTCTCGGAGCCGGGAGCGGAGGCTTTGCTGAGCAAAAAGTTAAAGGAGATGTCGGCTGGGGTGGGGGGGGTGGGGTGGGACTGCGGCTCATTTTTTAATGATGATATTCATTTACAAAAACTGCTCTGGTACATTGTGGGGCTTTGTTTTTAATTTATTATTATTTTTTAAAGAGAGGCTGTGCAGGCAAAGCCACTTGACAAAAAAAAAAAGCCACTTCGAAAGGTGGGAATCGGCCCTGCAGCTGTCTCACACATCTTTCTGGAGGAAAAGTTTGAACTGGAAAAACAACCAACCGGAGGATAAGACAATAGTTGAACCCACTTTGCTTCCTTCCACTGCAGGAAGAAGTGAGCCGCAGGAGGTTAGTCATCAAGATGCTACCTAATTTCTTTTCTTTTCTTTTCTTTTTTTTTTTTTGGAAGCTTGGAAAACAGATTAAAATTGCTCCCTTTGCTGATTATTTCTCCCCGCTGGAGTTCCATAATTCTGACACCAAACCGCCCTATTTCTGCCAATAACCCCTGTGGCTCAAGTCTCCCAATAAACAGAAGCAGGAAAATAAAATGTGAGCCTTCCTATCCCTGCCCCAATGTCGTGAAAGGGAACATGGGAAGGGGCTTGGCGGCTGGGCAGGGGACTTATGCTTTCCACAGGAGGGTTCTGAGCTAGAAGAGGAGCCCAATCCTGCCCCAGCCCCCCTCACTTCTTAACCTTCCCCCCCACCCCCCAGGAGAAGCAACTCCAGCGTGGAGTCGATTGCTAGACTGGACCTTCTGCAGAGGGGTGTCTGCCCACTGCCCCACTTTCAGAAAGCCAGCCTC